AAATAAGATCCTAAATAATTGCCATTGAAACTGACTGGTGCACAGTTATTTTTAGATACTAATATCTTATGACAATTCCCATCGATTTCAGCATTCTATTTGCATTCTTAATTATAAGTCGCGAGCTTGGAGAGAATCCACGATATAAAAATTGGTGGCAGCTGCATAGCCGCACTGCACTAGTTTTGTCACTTTTAGCTGGAATCGATAATGAAGCATTGACCGTGGCATCCTTGTATACTGGTAGCTTTGGGTCATTAAGTGCTCCATATTCACGAGAAGCAAATACACGGATTTCATATGCCACTATTTTTATTATAATCATCGAAGACGTAGCTCAATTTCTATTCCTGGTGAACAAATTTTAAGATATTTATGTTTAATTAATAGCGTTTTTGTTAGTGATAAAACTAATATTTTTTTGTTTTTATATAGGTCATTTATCAAAAAACTGCTATCATCCCGGCTATTGTTCCTATTCTTGCACTTTCTTCATGCACGGCCCTTATAGTTATTAGAGCTATATCAATGATGTATCTTTCATGCTTTTATCAACATAGCCTATTCGATTGTTATGATAATGATGAAGTATTTGAAGAAGAAGATAGCGAGGTATTAGATGTTGAAAACGTTATTCAAGGGAGTCTTGAAAATAGTAAGTTTTTTTCCTAGTATACAGTACTTTTAAACGGATTTTTTCTAATGTCAAAACTGATATAATTCATGTGGCATCGATCAACAATGAAGAAAGTTCAAGTTCTGTTGAAAAGAAAAACCGGCGATTTTATTCTTATGGCTCTGAAATTGCAAAAGTTCTTAATGTGATTAAATGTAAATATTCATATTCGAATATGCAATTTAATTGGACAATTACTGGAAGATATAATAGAAGCGATAAGAGTCACTTAATGACATGGACAATTGATAGAGAAATTGATGGAAATTGTCATAAGATATTAGTATCTAAAAATAACTGTGCACCAGTCAGTTTCAATGGCAATTATTTAGGATCTTATTT